TTCTTCATATAGAAGTCTCCTCTTTCAAGAGGGTGATGGGCATAAGGCAACTTTCTAAAGCAGGACTTTAATGATGAGTCCTGTTGTTGCGCAGCACTTAAGTCCTTTGGTAAAGGATTCTGGGGTTCTGGATCAGATGCTGCTAATGCTTTGGTTGGTGACCGGGTATCCATGGCCCCTACCAGCATAGGCGTCTTTAGAACTGCAAGATACAAATATTTGCATCCTAGTAAAACTGGAAATATTGGGTTAGGGAGACAACCCGCGACAATAGTTCCTTTTAAATATTTGCAGTCGATGTTTACCTTTGCAAGAGGTAATCTTAAGGTCTCAGACTCCTGTGCAGCAGTCTGCATCTCTATAAATTCCCCAGTGTACTGCGTTGGGTCAACGAGTTCTGTAGAAACCAAGGCATCGAATAATAGACCCGTGTCAAACAAGCAGGTCACTTCTTTGCCGTTCAAAAGGATGGTATCTACAACAGGAGGTCTCTCCCCATCATGAGAGTTCATCCTTGTATTTTCCTGTTTATCATTAGTTAAACAGGCGGCACAGAGTTGAGGGGGTTTCTTTCGGCAGTCTGCTGTATTATGAGTATTCAAGCGACAATACTTGCAGTAAAGCCGGCCCTTCCACTCTGACGATTGCTGACTACGACCGTCACCCCTTCGATTATCTTGTGGATGGTACCTATGGTTGGTGTTATTAGTGTTTGGTGTGCTTGACTTACCATTACGAAATTCAGGCTCCCTATGTGTGTTACGTTCAGTTGGCGTTTCGGTAAATTTGGGAAGGGATTTTGAAAGGTGCATCTTTGCCCTGGCGCTCACCTGTTCGGGGTGTGCCAAATCATATCTCTCAGCCAGCTTTAATATGTCAGCAATTCTTTCCGCACCATTCTCAGTCAGAAAGGTTTGGAGAGGTTTTGACATAGACTCTTTTAGCTGTTCAGCCAACATCATTTTCTCTAGATCTTCATAAGTCTGGGTAAATGATGCTAAACTCTGCCATTTCAGCAGAAAAGATTTTATTCTTGAAACAAATTGAGAAATGGTTTCTCCCGGCTCTCTTTTTGCATTACGAAATTTGTTGCGATATGCAGAGGCCGTCAACTCATATCTCTTCAACAGAGAATTTTTCAAGAACTCGAAGTTGGTCTCTTGACCAGGAGGCAATCTCGAATAATATTCATAAGAAGGACCTCTTAAAGACAGCGAAAGTTTCAGACACCACTTCTCTTTATCCAACAAATATGACCTAGCAATGTTTTCGAATTTTTCCAAAAACACATCCATTATATCCTCGTGTTCATTAAACTGAGGAAAATGAAAAGACATCGGACCAAGAAGGTGAGGATGGCCAAAAGAGGGTTCCTCAGAGGCAGAAGGTTGTGCATTAATTGCTGTACTAGAAGTAGAATGAGATTGTAAATCGAGCTCTCTGAGACGAAGTTCATGAGCTCTAATTTCCCGTTCTTTCTCTGCAGCTATCTCAGCCAGTCTTATGCGTTCAGCCCTTTCTTTCTCCTCTCGCTCTTTCTCCTCTTGACGTCTTTCACGGTCCTCTTGTCTCCATTCTCGTTGTATTTCCTGAAGATATGCCTTTAGTTCTTCGCCCGCATAACCGAGAGTTTTCCCTAGCTCCGCCATCTCCAAAAGTGAGGGTCTTGTTGCCATTTTACCTGCAGAATATACTTCAGAAAAGAACACACGCAAACACCAATCAAATTATCACAAGTGTAAAGTTACTGTTATCCTCCTTAACGTTAATTTTTGCCTATTATTATTTACCTATAAATTCCTACAAATTTCCTATTAATGACTAACTTTTATAATGATCTAACTTCTGAAAAATCCCGCGTTAGAGGCCCCAATTGTGGTAAAGTAGTTTGGCGGAATTTATCGTCGCCTGGAGATCCCCTATAATCCTTTCTAATAATTTACAGGGCTCGAATTAAGAAACTCTAGGAAAATTCTAATGGTCCATGAGTTCATAAAGAAAGGAAGGAAAATACAGAAAATCAAATCAGTAGGGTGAATCCCCGGAATATAATGGAATACATAATTATTTTTCTAACTAAATTCAGAAAACCAAATTGAACTCAAATAAATCACAATGTACAATACTTCGATGTTTGAGTTTTCAAAAAAACAACAATTGTATTGATATAATGCTGACTAAGAATCCTAACAAATTATTCAACTCAAAAGGAAATTACCTCATCATTCCACATGAAAAAAAAAAAAAAACCATTTCAATGTATCAACGTCACTCATCTCAATGATCGTTCAAGCTGAATACGGCATTTGTGGTATGGACAACACTTTGGCGGCAACAATTGAAGTGATTGGATATCTGCATAGGTCTTCAGTTCATTTCGGAATCTCCTTCTATAATGTTGTTAACCATCCATAGGGTTACAGGGAACCTGAATTCGTATGATTTTATTATTATTATTTTTTCTTCGTGGTAGGCCGATGGAATGGCTGGGGCTGTCGTTTGGTGTAGTGGCTAATCTAGCTCTTAGGGTTTCTCCTAGTAACACTACGAAAACGTCATAAGTTATGTGCGCCTTCGTACATTTTCTACTCTTCTCGCGTCTATACTCAACTATATTTATTTTAAGTGCGCAATTCTTTTAACCACAAGATGCAATTAACTCTTGCCGGACTGAAATATTCCGTTGGTTTGTCACACAGGCGAACTACATGATGTAACAACCTGCTAGTTTACTAGCCAACCAGCCAGCCAGCGACACATTAGGCCGACAAGTTAGCCACCAAATCAACCACTCGATCACCAGTAAGACTGACAAGTAATCTATCATTTAAACTGTTTAAAAAAAATGAAAGTTATCCATCAACCCACATTTAAGAAAACGTATAACCAACCAATCAGGTTCATTGAATTTTTGTTTTTTTCATCACCCATTAAACCACCCATCTTACTTCTGCCATCAATCAAATAAAACAAACAACAACCAGCCTGATTACAAAGCTTCTATCTACCAACACAATAACTAGCCAACCATTACCGAACAACTGACAAATCTGACCACCTAGTCCATTAAATCAGCCACATATCTATCCACAAGTCCAAGTCCTTATAATAAAAAAATACAAAAATGAAAAGGTCGACCACTTTCAGACTGCTGCTAGCTAGACGAGGCTGCTAACAGTCTCCGCCTATATTTGTGGTCTGGGTTATTTGTGTCACTCCCGTGACTAAAGTCGAGTATTTGCGCCATTTCTTAGCTTGATATCTAGCCATAAATCAAGCCAGCCTAATTGTCCGAATCATTGACCAATCAATGAAGCTATTAAAGAATAGACAGCTGAACAAGCCATTACTTCTTCTTCTGTGTTAAAAAAGAGTGACTTGGAGATTAGTGTTGTAATTTAACTAGGCAGCTCTCCTAATTATCATGTACTTACCTAGCAATAGGTGTTTCGTCCTTTCTATGACAACATTTTTTCACAGCGCCCTAACCTAAGTAAAAGTATGACTATTCGTATGTAAGAGTATATTTCGGGGCGACCCTGTAAAGAGGTCGCGGCACTCCGGAGCGCTGGGGCGCACAGTTTGGAAATCACTGGTTTAAGACATCTTATTTCGGAAATCAAATATGGGACCTGGAAACCCGCATGAAAAAAAAAAAAAAACCATTACCACTTCATCCAGTTTGGGCTGATTTTATTTGTATAACACTGTGGTTGATATTAGTAAATTTCTCCAGTTGACAACAGTTAGCCCCACTGGTTAAACACACAATTGCCTTTCCTCCATCAAAACAGCAGATGATTGGTAGCATTTTCATCCCTACTATATGTTATCATTTCCCAACATGAACAATGAATAGGCTAGTAGAACAGAAAATAATTACATGTGAAATGCGCTAACTGCTGTCTGCGCAAGGTCAACGACACCGCATAAATGCGAATTTCAGCATTGTAGAGAAAGTTGGAATAAGACCGTGACTCAATTATATTGACTGACACACACAAATGAACTGATTTCAGGAATCTAGTGAGAATGCAGCCAGGCCAAACTGCTTATGCGACGTTTTACAGCAGAACATCTGAGAGGAAGAAAGGAAAAGACCAAGAACGAGATAGATACATAGTGTAGCTGAGACCTGTAATAATATACATATATTTATATATGAACAAATCCACCACCAAAGCCATACGAAAAGCGTAAGACAAATACAGAAAGCCGCCCCACTGGGCTACAACATGGTATCAGTGAGATCAAAAGAAAATGAAGAAGAAAACCACGGGACATATTGGTGTAGAATGTTGGTCAGGCTGATAATGTCAACACAAAGAAAAGGGTCCTTTTCACCACTGCTATATATGTATACAGACACACATACACATACAGTGTTGTTTTTGGATTCTCTTATGAAGGAATTGACTGGAGACAATGGTTATAAAAGGCAAGATTGGTAAGAAGGTAGGCAGGTTGTACCCCACCAGGACATCACACAAGCGATAAACACCTGATGACACAAAGTGCCACCATGCGGATGAGGATCACCCGTGGAGAGGTCCCGGAAACCCCGTTCAGCCTTTAGGTCATATTTAAGGCCCCCGGGAAAAGCCACAGTGGCGCTTCATAATAACTAAAAATTGCATCCCACATGGGAACGATGGTATGACTAGGCAAGACTGATGGGGGGGGGGGGCACAGAGATAAATACCTGATTGCTAAGAGATATGGATGGAGCTTGTCAAGAACCATGACCTGACAGGCTATTCTGGTAATTGTGTGAGATGGCCAAAAATTATAGTCTACACTTTTCGGTACGGCACATGATGATGCTAAGATTACAATGTCAAAGGAATTATAAACAAACAGTCATGTCAGTGGATATATTTTTATCATTACATTTTTAAAAAAAATAATTGGAAGGTTACATTTCCAGTTGGCCAGCAATTGGCGTTGATACAGCCTGGACTTTGAAAGTCATTCCCCGGGAAGAGATTCAGGTTACAATGATGGAGCACACTGAAGCTAATTCCTCCAAAGACAGCGGTTATTCTTCAGTGTATGAAGAAGATTCTGCTCTGGTATTTATTGGCACAGTTATACTATACACTATCGGCGGCGGTGTTTCGTTTCTGGGCATTTGGAGCAACATCTTCAGCATGATCATCTTTTACAAGCTTGGCCTCAAGGACAGCATGTCTGTCGAATTCTTCGCTCTCTCATTTACCGATCTTCTGGTGGCCTTAGTCCAGTTCGTTAGCTGTACTCTCTACATATTGGGTATCCTTTATCCAGACAGTTCTCTGGACATTTGGTCACTGACAACTTTGGCCTTTGGGTATACAATGCTTTGTTTTTATTTCACATCCTGTTGGATCACCACAGTGATCTCAATAGAGAGATGTCTGTGTGTGGTCTATCCGTTTAAAGTAAAACTGATGTTTACTCGATCTCGCTGCACCGGATTAATACTGGCTATATACGCCATTTTCATCTTAATCCACTCGCCTGCATACATCATATTCAAAGTAAGATGGGTAGAAAACAGGCAAACTTTCACCACAGGGAATATAAATGGGACACTTGTGTGGTGGCTGACTTTAATAGTTAATGACGACACCGTGTTTTTTGAAGAAACATACGATATATGTATGACTGTGACAATGACAATGGTAATACAAGTAATAATGGTTGTTTGTGCCTTGTGGATGGGGTACGCCCTTCAAGTATCTTCAAGAATTCGACAAACTAATACAGAAGATCTTTCAGTAGCACAAACCTCAAATAGTTATCGCACATTATCTACAAAGTTGGCGTCAACTTTAACAAACCGAGAGAAGAGACTTGTCAAAGTCGTACTTCTTCTAGCCATATTGGTAATAGTAGGCAACGTGCCAAAGTTTATGCTTACTGCACTATATCATACTTTATCATTTGACATAAACGCTGTCGGGCAACAACAGACCTGGACAATCTTCTGGGAAGCAGCCAGTATCTGTGTGGCTTTTGGTTCTGCCTCGAATTTCCTAGTGTTTCTTAAACTAAACTCCAGCTACAGGAAGTTGTTTCGTGAATTGTGTCACATGACCAAGTGTTTACAGTAAGCCGCATTGCATGCCAAGTGTACCAGTTTAGTTAAACCACCTTCACAGAACTCACGATTATCTCATAAGCGCCACATCCTTATCTTCAGCAGATTTCCGATACAGGTGGTGTAGGTAGCAGTTTGACAAAATATCCACCTTGTTTGTGTACCAGTGTTGTATGCGGTCCGGGGGTATGGACCGCTTATCTGACAAAGTGTCTAGGTGTGAATGATTATGCTTCACCCATATATATATATATTCAAAAGTCCCCAAGTCGACTGTCCGACAACTAATTCCTACCGGAAATTGCTTAGATAACACAGTTACACATAGTCACCTCGTTCCACCAACACCGATGACATTGTCAGCAACATCACATTACAAGTCCAAGTCATCTCTATAATAGTGCATCGGTCCCTTTATTGTGAGCGAACAAATTATGACGATGAAGACAAGTTGGTGATTACAGAATTACTGTCCGTCTAATACTCCCTGATACCCATTTCTATGCTTCCAAGGCGGTGTCACCTCAAAAGGGAACACATGCCCTACATGCCCACTCCTAGGTTCACTAGCAGCCTTTAATGAAAGCCTCGGCTATGTGCTTACACTTTGGGTCACCAGTCAGACCTAAAGAGAAATCCTACAAAATGATCTGTTTGAGACTTTGCTGCTGGCACAGCAACTATCCGAGTCAGAGCATCAACGAGGAACGATCACGTCCTAGCATTAGGACGATTTCCTCTCAACAGTGGCAAATAAAGTGTTGGGCTGTCACCGTCTTGTCGCCACTAACTACACTCAACTGCAGCATTTCGAATTATACACTAAATCCTAATGAAAAGTTGAAACTCTCCAGCAGAATAAATGACTTTGTTAAAACACACCGGACTAGAACAACTCATACACAAACACGTCCTTACACTAAGACTGACTGAGAAGCACCGACTGGACACTAGTTAATTTTCAGCACAGCGGCCGACCACGCTTGAGTCTTGCAATATCCGTGGAAACCGCCGTTAGCCTTTATTCCAAAGAAACCCTGATCTCACGCGTCAAGTAGCCTGGACTTTTTGCACTCATCTATGTCATCATCATCATCATCATCGTCTAGCGTCTTTAAGACCTTTGGTACAATTAAACAGCAAAGTGAGTTAAGCACACAACAACCAGTTGTATTACGTTTAATAATTAAAGCAAACTAACTCGTTTCCACGTCTTGCAGCATGTCGGGTATACACTGCTGCCCCACCAAGACGCTGGTTAAGTGGCCGAGAGGTAGGATGCTTTCCTGGCTACTGCGTCCTTGAACCGTCAAATGGAACGAGTCTTGGGACCGGGTCGCACCAAATCTGTCAAGTTCCCTGCACTGATCGTCACGGTGATGTGCTTAATGCTGGAGCGAGGGAAACCAACGCCACTATCCATATGAGGAAGGTGCTGTGTCTGTCTGACTGTGTCGAGCACACCAGCTTGGCCTCTGAGGAACCGGGCCAATACATCAGCCCAGCCGTCAGCCTCTTAGTTTCCCTAGCTAGCAGATCGACTCTAAGCTCTGCACACCAAGATAACCATGTGTCTCTCTGAGCAGATATTCTAAACAAAGAAAAAAAAAAGAAACGGTGCTTTCTTTTTAGCCGACCATAAATGACGTCACGGGACAGTCCGACATTTTAGAGGGTGGTAAGCTCGCGTTTTCCGTGGTTTCTGTGCTTTAGCGTGCTTCTTCCAAAGCCAAGGTTTTCGCAAATAACCCTAACCCTAATTATACGCTTAATCTGCCACCCCCAAATATATTTGACTGCCTCGTGCCCTATGGATTTCCCCTATTTGTGGTCGACTAATAAAAAAGTACCAAAGAAACTTATCGGGAGTGCTGACCCGTTCAACAAATACGTTTAAAGCAGTTGGATGTGTCCGACAAAAGCCGACAGTTACACAGCTACAGTGTAATTATGTCCAAAACACACACACACACACACACACACACACACACACACACACACACACAATGAAGGTGGTGTAGCGGCTTGACGTTTCGCCTCAGGTCAAGATGACTTGTTTTGGAAGCCGCATTTTCTTTTAGTAAAAAAAAAAAAAAACACCTCGGTTCCCATGCCTTGTTCCCCCACCCCCACCCCCCAACACACACACACACACACACACACACACACACACATTGGACCCTCAGAATCCACACAGTTATTCGGAATAATGGTTGCAGTATCCGTTTCGGCGACTTTGCCATTTTGTAACAGCAAAAATTATTCATTTAATAAAATCTTGTCATCACCTAAGAAACGTGTGCCAAGGAACTTATCTTATTGTCTTTCACTGTCTATCGTTCAACAGATCTTTCCTTTTTTTTTTCACACAGTGTGCTGACGATTTTCTTCTCATAACTTGGCCAATATATAACACAAGGCTATGTCTAGTGTTTGTCATAAATTATTATGCCATTCTGGTTTTTTTTTTCTTTTTCAAATTACTGGGCGATTCTGGTGTTTGTCATAAATTATTGTGGTTTAGAGGCTAGTTAACAAGTTCAACAAGTACATGAGATTTGAGTATCATGTTTTTTTTTTAAACCACTCTTGTTGTTGTGAACGATGGTACAAGAATTGAACCAAGGAAGTGATTGAGTCGTGACTGGGTAATATGTACAAAAAAAAAAAAAAAAACAGCAGTGAAGCTGGCGCACATATTTTTTTTTTTTTTAATCTAGTACATAAAAAAAAAAAAAAAAATCTAACGTAAAACAGTATACATTCACAATATTAGAGGTTAGTGATTTTCTAACATCAAACCACAGATATTTACGCCAAAAGATGTAACTTTTTTTCCCTTAAGTCAAACCACAGAAGTTTTTTGCATAAGATGTTCGTTTCCTTAAAGTCCAGCCACAGATATTTACTATATAATATACATTCAACATTTCTGTATAAAGTCTATCCCCTGATAATACCGACAACAGAAGCTCTTTCCTGTCTAAATTAAAATCACAGATCATCATCATCATCCTCAGGTGCCTTGCCGACTGGCGTGGGCGATCATGCCTCTCCATAATCCGCGATCTCCTGCAGCATGTATCAGTTCGTGTGCTGACACACCTCCATGCCATTCAACAAGACTGTCAAGCATCTTCTCTCGTTGTCTTCCTCTATCCCTCCTTCCACAGATCTTTCCAGTGGTCACAACATGTTCTTTTTTCCCTCTTCTCATAACATGGCCAAAAAGGGATGACTGTCTCCTTCTGATGTTTGTGATAAGTTGGCTTATATATTATTAATAATGGTATTATTAATATTGATTAATATTGATTATTATTAATTATTATTAATAATTATTATTATTAATATTATGAATATTAAAATATTTACTACATAAAATGTCAATTTTTCCCCTAAAGTCAAACCACGTATGTCTAATTAGACATAACAAGTTCTTTATTTTCCATCAAAAGAGCACAGCTATTTACTACATTTTTTTTTTTACCTTGCTAATGTTAAACAACAGATATTTATTCCAGCATATGTTTATTTCCTAACCTCAAACCACAAATAGTTATGACATAAGATGTTCTTTTTTTTTTTTTTTTTTTAATTAATAAATTCAGATTACATATATTTATTGAATAATATGTTTAATGAAAAAACATATGTATTATTTAAGATGTTCTTGTCTTTTTGTTAAGTCAGACAACAAATATTTACTACAATGGGTGCCCCTCCCACCCTTCCCTTCCCTAAAGTTAAATCGCAGATATTTACTACATAAGATAGCCTTTATTTTCTCTGTCCCACAATAAGGTATTTGTTTGGGCTGACATCGGTCAAGTCTAGACTTCACTGGCTCAAGCTAGGACCTATATGCGAGTCAACAATGATAACAGGCATCCGCTGCATGATAATCTAAACGATTTAAGAGCAGACGGGTTGAAAAGAGAAAAGTCATGGATGACACTAGCTGAAGATCTCATCAAGACGGCGACCTCGGTCAAGCAAACACACAGGGTGCAGGAATGGGTCGACACAAACATCCACAATAGCAGTTTCCATCAGGTCATTGTCACGTTAGGAAGATAATGTAAAGATTGGTGTAACGGTATGGCAGAATTAGAGGTATAACAATGGATGTACGAAAAGGCTGGACTAGATGATGCAGTAGTGTACACCGATAGTTCTGTTTATCGGGGTGTAAGATCTGGCTAGGGATTTTCAGAAGGTAAAAATTGTGGCAGAACAAAATGGAGCTTTTTTTTTATCTACAAATTCAAGCATGAGAATGTAAGTGGAGGCAATCACCGCAGCTCTGAAGTGGATAGCAGAAAACACAGTTACTAGAGGAATTATTGTGACTGATTCTCAGTCGGCATTGCAGAAAGTTCA